GCATCTGGCTTGACTGAGAGAAGCATTGATGATGGAGCATAGGGGTTTAGCAAGCTCCGGAGAGAACTCCTTGAAGAGTTTCATTGGTAAGTCAATGGGGGTGGTAGAGCGTTTTAATTTTAGTTTTTCCAGACGTTTTGCTACTTCAAATTCTTCTACTAAGTCAGTGGGAAGGGGGGCTGGTAGGTAAGCAGGGAGAGTGGTTGTGTCAAGCCGGGGGAGCGTCTGGCATATAGTAGCAAAATGGTTATTTGTTTGCTCAGCTGCGTCAACATTAGTGAGATGGCTAAGGAAGGGGAGGGGTGTGTCTTATTGTTTAGTCCACTGAGTTCTTTAAGCTTACCATACCATTGACTGATGTTGGTCTGCTTCAGGTGTTGTAATTTGGTTGGGTAGTGGGACTTCTTTGCAGTGCGTATTTCGCAGATGACTCGGTTGCGAAGGGACCTGTAGCGGATGTGGTCATTGAGATGAAAGGCTCTGTCTCTCTGTTGCATAAGTCTTTTGATCCGAGGTGTGATCCAGGGCAAGTCAGCTGGGTGAGATCTGACGGACTTCTCGGGGAAGAAGTGGTGGTGAGCTTCCGTGGTGGTGTTGGTATAATTTATCCATTTGGTTTCCACGTCATCCGCGCTAAGTACTTCAGTCCAGGGATGGTGAACTATCCACTGCCCGAAGAGGCGCACTGCAGAGTCAGTAATCGGCCTGTAGGTCTTGATGTAGGGTCTCTGTACTTGAGTGGGAGTGGCAGCTGGGGACCAGAGCACTGATAAGTGTGTGCAACACCCGATAGGAGGCATTGGTTGAGGTGGTTGGTACTGGTCCGCTAAGTCAGTTAAGATAAGGTCAAGGGTATTTTGACCGTGTGTGGGGAAGGTCACAACTTGTGATAGTGATAGCTGGTCCTGGATATCAGTGGTGTCAATTTTATTAAAATCCCCACATAATACTAACTTGGCACATGGGTACCTAACTCTGAGGTGGTCTGAGGTGGTGATGAGATGATTGATAAGAGTGTCTCTGGTGGGTGAGCGAGGCAGATGGTATGCCACACAGATTATGATGGAAGCAGTGTTGCGCGGGTGGGCCCGTGGCACGATACGTACCCATAATGCTTCCACATCTGCTGGGACTTGAACATCCGGGCGTGACGGGCGTAGGTCATCTTGACAGAAGAGGGCAACGCCCCCTCCGCGTCTATGTGAACGAAGGTGATGAAAGAGTTGATATCCCTCAATATGACACGTTTCAGGCACAATTTGCCAAGCCTCACATATGGCAACGACGCGTGTGCAAAATTAACAATACAATTTATTAATAATACGTCGAATATTAGAGGAGACGAGACGGCTGCCGGCATTGTTTATGTTAAAGCTTACGAAACCAGCGACTGATTGGTTCTACATATAAAACTGAAGAAAATAAGACCCTGATTTTTAGCTGTAGTAAAATTAATGTAAAAAAATTAATATGGCTGTTTGAAGTACCTGTAATGTTATTTAATGTTAATAAATGGAACAATATAAGTAGCTAACTATTAATGGTTAAAAAAAAGTGAGACTGCGCGTATGTAAGTGTGCACATGTGAAAACATATCGTCATTACTCTACATAAGAATATGAAAGCAACACTTATTTACTGCTCATATATATATTGAAGGGTTAAATGTTGTACTCTGTATAGACAAGCAGAGAGAGAGAGAGAGAGAGCAGCCGAACTGCCGGATGTAAACAAACCTTAATTTCCCGCGGCTTTGTTTTATTTTTTTTGTTTTTTAAGGGGATTAGCCCACCCGGGCATAGGTCACTGACCCACATTGGGGCCTGAGGGGCAAAAATTTAATACTCCTGTAATAATAATTCAGATAAGTAAAAAAAAAAAAAAAAAAAGCTGCCTATCTACCTATTGGACAAACTAAAATCGTTCCGGACCACGGGAGTTTCCGGACCACAGAATGCCGGAAGTGCTCTGCACCAATTGTTCCTGCTAACTGAGATATCACTGTACAGTGGTCCCTCGGTTAACGAACACAATTTGTTCCAGAAGGTCGTTCGTTAACCGAAACCATTGTTTCAATGGGATTTTGGGTAATTGGTTCCAGCTCACCGAAAATTACATACAAACTAAAAATAAATGCGGTAAAGTACACCTACTTTGAGGTGTGCATGTAGAAGGCTCCTGGTTGATGATGATGATGATGATGGGAATTAGAAGTGGGGGTGGAGGAGAAGGGAGAAGAGAAGGAAGTGGGGTGGAAGAGAAGTCACCCTATGCTTTATGCCACCATTTCACCTATACAATTTAAGTTCACTAGGTGTAATTCAAGATTATTTCCTTTAAATCAACACTGCTTTGTACTATATATTGTCAATATGTAAAATAAATTTCAGAATGACCAATAATTGTACTGTAAAAATGTAAAAATAGTTTATGTTCAAGAGAGTCTTAAGTAAGATGCTTCCTCCACTGAGCAAAGACAAACTGACGCCTGCTGGGTGAGTCAAGTGGCTGTTTGGCGTGCTAAAAGCTAGCTCTCTCTACTTCAATTATGTTAAATAATTGTTAAAATGACTAAAAACTTTAATATAACACTTGGAAAATTATTGATTAGTACAACCTTCTTGATATTTACTTAAATGGTAACGATTTTAAGCCCTAAAACCGATTACTGTATTGGCGAACTAATACTACAGCTGGTGAGCAGGCGAAGGCAGGCGAAAACATGTTGGGAAAAATTCGTAAGGAATTCTTAACCGAATTTTTTTCGTTAACCGAATTGAATATTCTTATGGAAGGTAATTCGTTAACCGAGGCCTTCTTTAAAAAGGGATCACTGTACAGTCGTCCCTCGATTAACAAACTGTTCAATTAACGTAATTTCGGTTAACGAATTAGCCCTCATAAGGATTTTAAGTTCCATTTACGAACAAAACTTCGATTAACGACAGCCTTACGAGAAACACATTTTGTAGTGCGCATCAGCTATATTTACATTCTATATTTACATTCGTTTCCAGTGGAGTAAATATCATGAAAGTTGTGCTCTTGAATATTTTTGCAGTTTTTATATTAAAATTATTGGCCATTCCAAAATTTAGTTAACATCTTGATAATATATACAGTACTGGGAACAGTTTTTGTGCGCCCAGCAGCTGATTGAATCGCCCAACAACGCTTCTCGGTTTAACTTTGTTTACAGTGGAGTGAACATCCAGTTTGTTGGTCTCTTGAATATTTTTGCATTTTTACATAAAATTTTGTTACATATTGATAATATAAAGTGCAGAAATTATTATGAAACATGAAGAAGGCATTAGAACCAATGCACTCTGTAAAGAATATGGCATGTCATCATCGACTGCTCTACAATCGGCTGTTTGATATGTAAACGAAGCTGCCGGGAATACGACATACACACCTCAAAGTAAGCTAAGCTAAAATATAGTATTCTATTGTTTTTTATTTATTATTGTACAGTACAGTACAGTATTACCCCGCTTAACGCGCTTTCACTTAACGCGTTTTCGCATATACGCGGTGCCTTGCCAAAGCTGAACTTTCACTTAACGCGGATTTTTCCACAGCAACGCGGTGAGTGTCCGGCTCGAGAGCTATTTTTAGATTCGCACCACCCCCCACCCGCCACCCTGCCTGACTGCCTGTTTTAGCTCATAAAATTCATACAAATTACCCAGCCAGAATATAATTTACATTGCTGGAATTCTTATAATTTGGTGATCATTTTGAATATAAACAACATATATTTTGCATTAAACATACAATTTTTAGATAAAAATTTTCTCTAGGTAATATGTTATCTTTTGTCCAAAATATATGACATTTATATTCAAAATATTCCTGGTCTTACAAGGAATCCAGCAATGTCAATTATATTATCCTAACTTTAGTTTGAGGTATTATTTATTAAAATTTAGTGGTTATCCCACACATCTCCTTGGGACGGTTGGTGGGGGGTGGGGGGTGGGGGGGAGGGAGGGACCGACCGACCGACCGACCATCTGTTACCCGGTGAAGAATTATTTTTTTTTTTAACTGAAGATATTTGTTTTAGCTCATAAAATTCATACAAATTACCGGTCAGAATATAATTTACATTGCTGGAATTCTTATAATTTGGTGATCATTTTGAATATAAACAACATATATTTTGCATTAAACATACAATTTTTAGATAAAAATTGTTCTCTAGGTAATTATGTTATCTTTTGTCCAAAATATATGACATTTATATTCAAAATATTCCTGGTCTTACAAGGAATCCAGCAATGTCAATTATATTATCCTAACTTTAGTTTGAGGAATTATTTATTACTATACCTGGTTTTCCCCAAAAAATTTCTCAGAGGGAAGAGCCAGTGAGTGTAGTGTGAGAAGAGGGGGAGGGAGTTGAGTCCATTATTTGAATGGACATTAACTTGGCGACTGTATTTCTCTATTTCTCTTAAGTATTAATTGTGTGCATGTACCATCATAAAATTAAGATGTTATTTTTACTACAACATAGTTATTTGTCGTCAAAAAGTGGAGTTTGGGGGTCGGGCTGGGTTCTATTGGAATTAATCCCATATGTTCTGTTATTCACTTAACGCGGTTTTCACTTAACGCGGGACCCTCTGGGTTCAATTGACCGCGTTAAGTGGGGTACAACTGTACTGTATTTAGTTTATATTTAATGTTTAGTTAATTCTATTACCGGTATACAGTACTTTGTATGTATACTTTTTCTGTGAGGAAGAACCAATTACCCAATATCCCATTGAAAAAATAGATTCAGTTAACAAAATTTTCGGTTAACAACCAACTCTGTGGAACCAATTGTGTTCGTTAATCGAGGGACCACTGTTTATTTACAGTTATCGCTTTACTTTTTGGGACATATATATTGTGACAAAAATATTGCACAATCTCTTATTTATGTTGGCTTCTTACCTAGAATAACTTATATTTTCCTTTGACTTTATTGATGTTTTATTTCACAGGAGTCAAGCCACTGTCTCTACATGATCAGAAGATTGTGTATAGAGTGGCTTGTCAAAAAGCTGAAGAACTTCTTACCAAAAAGATGAGAGACAAAGAACACATGAGGCTGCTGGCACAAATCACTGAAGGAATTAGAGCGCACATCAGAACAAATAAACTTTTGGATCCGGTGCCTCATACACGTCAGGTTTGTTTCAGTTGATAACATATTAATCTTTCTCAAGTAGTGTCTGTACAGTACAGTACAGGTATCCCCCTATTTACGATAGGGTTGCATTGCTGAAAACCCCAACATCAATGTTGAAATAATGTAACTGGGGCCCCATTTATCATGGGTTACAATAGGATCTTACATTCCTACCCTGTCCAACACAGACATTTAACAGGCAAAATGATCCTACACCAATTAAATAAATATAAAAAAAATGCAGAAAAGTCAGGTTAATCTGGACTCATTAATCCAGATTTATGCTTTCTCTAGACTGGCAAAACACTTCGGACTAATTTTTATTAACCCGGATTGAGTCCAGATTAACATGTAATAGTCCAGATCTCCCACATGGTAGCAAAAGTAAATGAACACTTTTGAATCACTAACCTACAGTATAATTCTTGTACATATTGGATGTAGAATACTACAGATAACAAACTTGGTGATGGTGCTGTTGGTAGTAGTAGAGGTGGAAGATGGAGGTTTATTTCTAATTTACTTATTTTACACTGTATTGTACACTATACATTGCACTGTATACTATGCATTACACTGTACACTATACATTATACTGTACACTACACTGTATTTGATACATTACACTGTACACCGTACACTATACATTACACTGAATGGTTGTCAAGGGCAGTTGGTGTCAACGGCCGTCTTGACAAATATTGCAAGTCAATGTCAATCCCATTCATTGACAACTGGGACAACTTCTACGGCAGAAGGGACCCTTATGCGAGGGATGGGGTTCATCTGTCTAGGGATGGGATGGCTCTCTCGAGAGGGCAGTTCAAAAGATTTCGAAGTCTTTAAATTGCTAGGAGAACATATGAGCACAGGGGTGGAGGAGACTGCAGTGGGAGTGGGTGAACAAAGTGAAAGGTTACAGGGAAATAGTGCGAGGAATGATGACAAAACTAAATTAGGCAGGGAGTTAAAACCTAAAAGCGTCAAAGAGAGGACTCAGAACACGATTAACATAAATGTCTACTGTGCAAACAGTAGAAGTATGAGAAACAAAATGGACGAAATCAAGGCGTTGGTATGTACCGAAAAAATCGATATAATAGCAGTCATCGAGACATGGATAAACCTAGACTCATGTGAGTTACCTGTCGAATACCAAATTGCAGGTTACAAATTATTCCATAACGATAGGCAGATTAGGAAAGGCGGCGGAGTAGCAATCTATGTCAGTGATAATCTGAAGTGTGAAATAAATTAGGAAATAAAAACTGAGCGGAATACAGAAACAATTTGGATAGAATTAATCGATGGTTGGGAAAAATTAATCACAGGAGTATTATATAGACCTCCCAATCTTGATAAGAGTTAATGAGTGACTTATTTGGGATGAAATGTGTAGGGCTTCCATACATAGCAAAGTCTGTATGGTAGGCGACTTTAACTTTAGCCAAATAGATTGGATTGACCTTACGGGTAACTCAAAATCAGAGGATTTTCATTAAACGATCCAGGACTGTTTCCTAAGTCAACATATACCCGAACCCACCCGAGGTAATAATATACTCGATTTAGTTCTGTCAAACAGAAAAACCTCATTAGTAATGTCGAGGTAGGGAACGAACTTGCGAACAGCGATCACAAAGAAATAATATTCCAATTAGAATTTCACGGCAGCTGCAAGGAAAATTCCATCCAAGATCCCAGATTTCAGAAGGGCAAATTTGATAGATTGAAGAGGCAGCCGAGAGAAAGTGTATCACGCTTGGGGGTGAATTACATGACCTCGCATGAGGTGACCTCACACAGTGTACCCACAAAGGGCGACCTCACCTTACCTGGAGACCTGACGGTTGGGGATGACCTGATCACGAGATCTGAGGTTGCCGAGTGCCACAACAATTTAAGTAATGAGTTACTTAATGCACAAAGGCAGAACATACCATACAGAAAACTCAGATCAAACAACATTGACCCTAAATGGATAAATAATTATTTAAAGAATATTGTTGGACAAAGGAAGGCTATAGGTAGGAGAATAAATCATGGTGAAGTTTACCTCCGAGATTATAATAAGGTATTGGCCAGGAGGGTTAAGACCGAGGTAAAAAAATCAAAGAGGAATAATGAACTGAAGGCAGTAAGGGAGGCAAAGTCAGACCCCAAGGGATTCCATCAAATGTATCAAACTATAACACGAGAAAAGGTTGGACCAATACAGTCAGATACTGGCGAGCTAACTGATAACGACGGAGAAATGAGCAATAATCTGAATAAATATTTTTCAAAGGTTTTCACCACCGAAAATTTAAACATGATACCCGAGGCATCAACTATATACAGAGATAGTGAAGAAAGTAGATTAAGCGAGATAGTAGTGACTAGTAACGATGTTAGTAAGCAAATAGATAAGCTAAAGCTTATGAAGTCACCAAGTCCCGATGATATATTTACCAGAGTATTAAAGGAATGTAAGGAAGAACTAATACTGATTTTCAAGAAGGGAGATAGATCACTATCCTCTAACTACCGCCCAATCAGTCTAACATCAATTGTAGGCAAATTACTGGAAACAATCATTTCAAACTACCGTATATACTCGTCTATAACCCCCCTTCGTATATAGGTCGACCCCGATTTTATGATCAAGAAATCGTTAATTTATGATATTCCTCGTTTATAGGTCGACCCAAGTTTTTGAGGGTAAAGGAACAACAAAACCTTCAGAGAAACACTACGTCCTATAAACTTGTTTACCATTTATTATAACGACACTTTACACTGAAACGCGGGTAGTTTCAACAAAAGTATTGTATATTTCCATTCAAGTATTTATTCAAGTCAATTAGGAGGGAATATTATTGTAATACAACAGTTTTTTAACTAAACCATTCGAAAAGTGATTACGGTAACATCTTTTGAACGAAAGAAAGCCAAAGTCTTTGTTTTCGTCACGATTTTATCCCACTTTCCACTGTAATACATACGTCATTTCAGCAAAAAATATTACATTTCCGTGAATGTATTATATCAAGCACAGTATGAATAGAATATCATTGTAATATAACAGAATTTTAACCGAAAACTATTAAAAAAACGAATAACATCTCGAGAACATCGGAAGCTTAGGTAAAGTCTTTTGTTTTCGACATGTATTTTATCCTATTTTACATTGAAATACATCATGTTTCAGCAAAACTACTATTTATTTCCAAGAATATATTTATTCAGGCGCAGTTTAGGTAAAATATACGTGTGATGTAACAGTTTTTTAACTGAAAACGATTCGAAAAACACGTGTACCCTCTAGCCCTGTTCAAGGAGAGGACTGGGAGAAGCTGTTTGGTGCTGCAGACGATGACAAAGAAAATGATTTTGGTGGATTTTAATGAAAATATTCAGAAATATGGTATCGTAATATTTATTCAAGTCAATTAGGATATTATTGTAATACAATACAACAGTTTTTTAACTAAACCATTCGAAAAGTGATTACGGTAACATCTTTTGAACGAAACAAAGCGAAAGTCATTGTTTTCATCACAATTTTATCCCACTTTCCACTGTAATACGTATGTCATTTCAGCAAAAAATATTACATTTCCGTGAAGGTATTATATCAACCACAGTATGAATAGAATATCACTAATATAACAGTATTTTAACCGAAAACTATTAAAAATACGAGTAACATCTCTTGAACATCGGAAGGTTAGGTAAAGTCTTTTGTTTTCTGCATGTAGTCTATCCTAATTTACATTGAAATACATCACGTTTCAGCAAAACTACTATTTATTTCTGAGAATATGGAAATGTAATATTTTTCCTGAAATGACGTACGTATTATAGTGGAAAGTGGGATAAAATCGTGACAAAAACAATGACTCGCTTTCTTTCGTTCAAAAGATGTTACCGTAATCGGTTTTCGAATGGTTTTCAGTTAAAAACTGTTATATTACAATAATATTCTATCCTAATTCACTTGTGATGTAAAAGTTTTTTAACTGAAAACGATTCGAAAAACACGTGTACCGTCTAACTGATACGGCAGAGCCCTGGTCGCGAAGGCTTTGTGTTTGCATCGGCCCTTCTTAAGCAGCTTTTAATTTTAGCGTACGTTGAAATTGTGTTTACCGGTGTATTCTTATTTTCTTGCTTCTTATTTTCCAGAAATATGACAAGTTTTTATATAATACAATGTTACGGTACTTTTAATTTACAAGTATTCATTTTTAAAAATACAGAAGACACCAAACAAATACTAGTACGGATATTTGCGTGACTCTCCCGCCAAAAAAGACCAAACATCTGGTACTCTCTCCCTCAGCCCTACCAAAAATAGCCCAACATCTTTCTTGTTTATTCTCTTCCAATTTCTCACTTTAACTGGTATTTTTTACTTCATATTGCCTACATCAGATAAACTACAGTAATTGAGGTTAGATATTGTTATAAATTTGATTACCGGGTCCTGGCAGGTACCGTTAGAACCACCTGACCCTACCAACAGTGTTGCAAGTCAGACAGCATTTTTTTTTTTTACATTTTTGGTGTCTCCATTTGTTAATTTTTTTCTGTGGGGTTTGCACAATAGTATACTGTTTTACCTACAGTATTGTAAAACGAATTGGGAAAAGAAATACTCGGTAACTTAAAATTTTAAAAGGAAAATTTTGAAACTGGCAACTGTGTGTAGATGACCTGACTCACATCATATTGATGTTTCAAATTTAATTAACAAAAATTTATGTATCTATAAATAAACTTTTAAAAATGAATACTTTATGTTCTACATACTCCTGTGCATACCATACCATGCATTTGGCTACTTTGGGCTTGCTATGATGACGCAAGAGATCTGCCCTGGCAACTGTACCGACACTCACAGCGGGTGGTGCGTTGGTGCATCGTTTCCATTGTTTACTGGTAGTTACTGGTAAATATTTTTCAACCTAACGAAACTATTACCCGTATAGAGGTCGACCCCCAACTTTTTGCCCAAA